CCAGGTACGGGCCTCCAGGTCAAAGGCCTCAAAAGCAGTCACGGGGAGCTTGCCCTGGCGGCCCCCTGCGATGGCATCAGGCACCTGGGAGGGAGCCTGGGTGCGGGCAGGCGCCTCCACCACCAGGTTGCTGAGTCACCACCAGGCCCTGGCTGCCCGCTCCAGCTGTGCAGCCAGGGCCTGGTCACCACCCTCCGCTGCTGGGCACTGAGGTTGGGTGTTCCAGTTCCAGCAGGGCCACCAGGGGTGGAGCCTCAGAGCAAGCCTGGCTCACCCCAACAAAGCCTCCTCGTCCTGCCCCCCCGCCCCCAGCCTGATTCTAGCCAACGCACAGGGTAGGGGCTCTGGACTCCGGGCCCCTTCCCCCAGCCCCCAGGTGCTTACCCAGGACATAGATCTTGTTCCCGTGCAGGAAGGTGGAAGCTCCGTAGCAGGGCGTGGGCATAGAAGGCAGCGAGAGCCAGCAGTCCTGGCGGGGCTCGTACACCCGGACCTGGGCCTGGGGGGCTGTGTCGGAGCCCATTCCGCCCAGAGCATACACCAGGCCATCTGCACAGAAAAGAGCAGGGCAGACGGTACCCCAGGCTCCCCAGGGCACCCCACCCCGACAGCTGCCCTGGGGAGGCGGGGGACCCATGTTTGTGGTACTCTTCCCTGCAGGGGAAACCCTTGCGCTGGCCTGGAGGGGGCGCTGGGAGAACCAGGATTCCTGCTCTGACCAGGGCCCCTCCAGTGGAGGGCGAGAGGCAGCCGATCTAATTATAATCTGTCTCCGTTTCCCTGGAGATGCTATGGCAACCAAGTCTGGCATCCAAGCAGAAGCAGACCTGGTCAGACCTGGAGGCCACAAGATGGGGCCTCCCTGGGGGAAGGAGGCTGGGGGATGGTTTAAGCCAGGGGTGGGGGGGACCAACTGGGGCCTGCAGGAGAGGAGTGTTGGCCACAAGCCTTCTGCCCAGGAGCCCCACCAGCACCTCTGCACCCCACCTTTTCACTAGAGTAAGTTCTTGCCCTCTTATGTCTTCAAGGTCAGTTGGGGGCATGTCAGGGGCCCTGGAGGAGACAGCCAGTCAGCTGGGCGCTTCCATGGCAACTGTCCCCAAGCCAGGCTGGCCTTTGTCCACCTCAGGCTCCCTGATGTGTGTGGAGGGACAATCTTGTCGGGCTCTGAGCCAAGGCTCTGCCCCACCTGCTCCCCCAGACTATTTATAACCAGGAGCGTCCTTGGCCACCCCCTGGTCTCTGAGAGAAGAGGAATGGACGGGGCGGAAGCGGCTGGTCCTCCCTCCAAGGGGCCAGCTTCCCACCTCCCCGCTGGGAAAGGCAGGGGAGGGCACAGGAGGCCAAGCCCTGTCCCAGGCACCCAGGCTAGCGCAACAGCTCTTGCCCCGGCTCTGAGGGAAGGAACCAGTGGGAAACGCAGGGAGTTGGGGCACCAAGAGCCCTTCCGTGGGAGCCACTCACCTCTCTCCACAGCGGCGATGCCCATGGCAGCCTGCGGAAGGGTGGCCCGATGCTCCCAGCGGCCCTCGTCGGCCAGGAAGGCCTCCACGGCAGCGACTGGGCTCTGGCCCTCGTCCACACCTCCCACCACCAGCACCTGCTTGCCCAGCACCACAGCGGCCGCGCCAGCCCGAGCTGTGGGCAGGGGTGCTAGTGCCAGCCATGTGTGTGAGGCCATGTCCAGGGTCTCGGCAGTGTCCAGGGGCAGCCCAGCCCGGCCACAGCCCCCCAACACTAGCAGGTGCCCATCCTGGTGTGCGACCGTGCCATACACCCGGCAGGTGGGCATGGGTGGGAACACCTGCCAGGCAAAGGCCCGGCTACCCCCTGCAGCCATGGTGTTCATGTCATTGGCAGGCCATGCTACTGCTCAGGCTGCAGGCCTCACAGATGCCAGCCTCATCTTGACCACCAGGTTAAAGGGTGTCTGACAGCCCAGGGCACGTGCCTTCTCCTGGAGGAGAGAGGGAGACGGGTCAGGCCCCTGACCTGCTCTCAGAGGCCAGATGAGCAGCCTGTAGCTTCGGGCCGGAATCCCCGGTGGGAAAGGCAGGAATGGGACCCCCTGGCTGGCTAGCAAGCCACCGTGGAGGCCCACCCACCTGGAGTGGGCAGGGCGCAGCTCCCAGACCCAGGGCTTCTCCCTCCTCCCATGGGCGTGTGGGATTCCCTCCCACCCCCTGTCCCCTGCTCGCCTCCCCTCGGCCACCCCTCGGTCTCTGAGAGAAGAGAATGGACGGGGCAGGCAAGCACTGGTCCTCCCTCCTGAGGGGCCAGCCTGGGCGCTGCTTCCCACCTCCGCTGGGAAAGGCAGTGGTGGGTCCGCAGCCCAGCTCAGAGCGAGGCAGGGGCGGGCACAGGAGGCCAAGCCCTGTCCCAGGCACCTCAGAGCTCCCTGGTCAGACCCGGTCTTGATGGGAGGTAAGGGGACGAGGACAGGGCTCTCCACTCTGCAGGAGCGGACTCCTGCGAGCCCCCCTCCCGGCTTCCTCTGTGCCCGGGCAGCCATCAGGTCTCCCACTGCCGCCAGGGATCCAACTCCAGGGCACCCACAGCCCCTCTGGGAGCCATGAGCTCACCCACTCCCCCCAGCAAAAGGCACCACCAGGATGTCTGGGCCTGGAGGCCAGGGTCCCGCACTTCCCCTTGGGGTCCGCCCTCCGCAGCTGGTGCTCTCAGCCCCCCAGGCCAGCTCCCTGGTGTCCACACGGGGGAGGAGGAGGATCCAGCAGGAAGGGGCAACTGGACCTCTGCACCCCTAACAGCAAACACCCATCCCCCAAGCCTGTCCCTTCTGGAGGGACACATTCCTGGGACCCCAGGCGCCGGAGCCTCCAGCCCCAAACTTCCCGCCCGCGGGAGGGCGGGGGGCGGGTCCGGGCGAGCGCACTTGGGGCTCACCCTGCGCCCCAAACTTCCCCAGTTCCCGCGGGACACACCGGCCGGGGCTCGG